TCAATGGCTGCAGTGCTGATGCGGGCGGCGGCCTCTTTGTCAAGCAGACAGTGTCTGTGTCGGATGTCATGGCGTTCGGCGACTGCAAGGCATCAAGTGCGGCTTCTGGAGGCTCAGGAAATGGGTTCAGAACACAGCTGAATTTCTGAAAGCAAGCGAGAACTTGAGAGTGGAACGCCGTGAGGGTGTTTATTTCCCCTGCAGGGAAACTAAGTATCTAGAATGGCCGTAGTGCATGTATACATTTTGTGTGATGTTTATGGTGGGAGGGAGTGGAGCGTCCATCACAGAGTCTGAAAGCGTAGTCGCTGTTTGTACGAGGCTTGCAGGATCTTGCAGGGCTGGAATGCCACAGAGCAAATACCTGCATGGTGTGGAAGGTGCCCTGTATATGTTTATGGGAAACTATGTTTACTTCGCTGTCGTTAGATGAAGATGGCATCCACACCCAGATCTGCTCCTAGAAAGCAAGCATGCTAAGGCTTTATGTTATCAATATCCGGCATATCTGCATGTTCGCGTCGCCAGCATTCTGAAATGCATAGTTTGTGGGTGGCAAGCGTAACAAAACCCTGAAGCCATTAACCCAAGCCCTTGAAGTTTCTCTACCTACCGCCAGCAGCTTTAAAAGCAGGAAAGTTGGACCCGAATTGTTAGCTCGACTCTACATTTTTTTGCGTTCTACCTACTCATAGGACACTTTGCTACTAGGTATGCATACTCTGATAGTTGAGTACATTTTTCGAATAAGGTTTCTATGGTTTCGGCATGGATGCAGAGCGAACTGTATGCTCTTGGGGGGTGAACGTTATTCTGGTTTGTCCTTGGATGCTCAGGTAATTGAATGCACTTGAACACAAACGTTAACATGGTTTGGGCGTGGATGCGCAGGTATGCTTTCGGGGAACAAGGTTATTATGGCGGAGGCATGGGTTCGGGTAATCAAAGATGGTCAGACAAGAACCTTCTTATGGTTTTAGGGCATGGAAGCTCTGGTACCCTGTGGCCTTTGCGCATGCATGCGCAGCTAATTGCGCGCCCTCAGGGATAAAGCCTATTCTGGGTTCACAATACACATAGTAGGATGACCTGCTATTCCACAGTTGCAACGATGACTGCCGTGATCCAGGCAGCACCACCGAGAACCAATAATGGTGCACGGATGTGCACGGAAACCCTGCGTGTGCAGCTAGCTACCATTGTGGTAAATATTGTTGAACAACATGTAATCATGGAATTGTGCTGAAATTTCATTGGCAAAGCATATGGGCAGGCTGAATTCAATGCATGAAAACTCCGAAAGTGCTCATGATTGACCATAAGATGCAAGGCCTTAGCACCATCTGCCACCAACCACGCCCAGCTTTCTTACTGGGGCAGTACCCTGCGCTTTCTTCCCCCGCCTTGACTGCCGGACCCCACCACCAAAGGCAACACTCAATGTCGTCCCATTGCCCCTTGCCTGTGTTGCCAAATCGAGCGTTGATTTGCATTGCAGGTCTTGGTCTTCTAGACTTGCGGTTCGAATTGTGCATGTCAGTGATTTGAGGTATGCGCAGGCAAGCACATGAAGGGGTGAAGCAAAGCCCAACACCAGTGATGTTTGTGACAGCGCCTCGCTTCCCAGGTTTTTCATAACTCCCAGGCGATCGTGTGTTGTCGCTGCTCTTCTTGGACAATTGCCTGCATTGGAAGGTTCATGACACCCAACAAAGTCGCCTTTGACGCATGTGGTAGATGGCGGGTGATGCAATTTCATGCGGATTTCAATGATCGATTGCAATCTGGCCTTCAAGAGGAACCCCTCCCCCACTCTGTGATTGTCAGTCTCCACCTTGGACAACAGCAAGCCATGGTCGTTATTGCAGATGTTATCGGTGTTGATCTACCTGTCTTCCTGGCATTTGAGAGTCAGTATGTTTGTCACTGCAAGAGTTGGATAAGTGTTGCTGGTTTTCTCTAGCACCATCGTACTGGCTTGCTGCAACGGTGACACGGTTCACCAAGGACCCAAGGAGAGTAAGACTGCGCATCTGTGGCGGTGTGTCAGCGAGCAGAAACCACTTCTGGAAACCTACGACTAGCAGCATTCATGTTTTAATTGCTGACGGCAGGTGGTGGCATGTACATCAAACACGGCGAGCTGGATTTGCTGGGCCACCTGCGCTTCAGGAGTTGCAATTCTTTTGGCTCAGGCGGCGGCTTACTGATTGAAGAAGGAGGAGTACGTCAAGTCCCCACCAGCAGTCTGGAATTCTTCCAGTGTTCTGCGCTGGGAGCCCACGGGGGCGGTGCCTCGGCCACTGTTGAACATCGCGATGCTGCTGATTCCTTGAAAATATGCAATCGGAAAGCCACGTCCTCCTGACATGGTGTGCTCAGCATCCGGTTAATGTTGTTACGATGTGCATTTGCTGCAAGAGTTCCAAGCCATGTACACGGCTGGTTGTGGAACTAATACAATCATGTCCAAAACCAGCGAAAATACAATCCTAGGTATCATTGTATGCTTGAACCATCTTGCCTGAATCTCAAGCGTGCTTGTCACGTCATGACCGAGGCATGGCTACTGACAGCCTGGATTCTCGTGGCAACATATTGTTCGATGGCTGTTCAGCATCTCACTGAGGTAATCTTTGCAGCTCTTGGCTGGTTGTTTGCGTTTGGGGGGGTGGGGTTGGGGTGGGGGGGTCCACTGCGACCCTTATGTCGAGGAATAATTTTGCATGCCCTTCTACTGGGTGCCATGACTAAAGATGCCACGTGCTTAACACTCTGTTGTGGCAGTAGTAGATGTTCCCTTACGGCCGTCTTCGCAGGCATGATAGGCCACCAAAGACGAATCAACAACGTTTAACGTGTAGAGATTCTACCGCAAGTGCAGCGTCCATCATCCATGAAGACAGGTGGGAACGGTGGCGGATTGTATGTCAAGAGTCGCAATGGCACAGTGCAGCAAGAGGGAGGCCACCTGAGCTTTGTGAACTGCACGGCCGGGGGCTTTGGCGGTGGGATCTATGTGGGATCCCAACGGCCAGGACAGCTTGCTCTGACTTGCCCATGCGCATCAGTTCGTATGTTCGCATGTGAGCCCTAAAGGGAACAGCCGCAACATCGGGATGCGAACGCCGTAAATTTTCGCGTAGGCACGGAAAGAGGGACAACAAATAACTTTCAATTGAGAAATTGAAAGTAAGTTATGCTTGCAGGCTACCGAGGATTTATTTTGCAGAAAGGTGTGACGACAAAAGGCCCTCATCACCTGCTTCGGGTTACCGAAACGCCAGTACCAGTCAGCGTTCATGCCCCACTCATTGCTGAGAAGAGGCAACAAGGTCAACGTGGCATTAAGAGGTAACTGCGGACGCGACATGATTTGCAGGACATGTCAGAGTTATGACGAGGGCAGCGACCGCAGCGAATAGAAAACTCAAGTAAATCTTGAACAAGGGCTGTGCTTCTCTTTAATACCGAAAAATCCTTGCAGTCTCCGACATACTCTCCACACACACTTCTCCACCAGAATCCGCTTAAATTGGATTCATTTAAAATTTACACCCCATGCGAACCTATTGGCAACGCAAAAATTTTGCTGGCTGACAATGTGTAGAAATGGTGGATTTGCTGTCCGATTGGGCCATGTACATTCCCAATACCATGCTCGCGATTCGAAAGCCTGGCACAGGAGAACTCTTTAATCTGTCTCTGGACCGCTGTACCTCAGAGACCAACGCAGGCACTTTGTATGCCACCTCTACACAGTTGCTGGACGCTTATGAAATAACAAGTTTGCGCACTTCCATAAGCACAGACTTTGTACGGAAAGCATCACTTGTCCGAATGATGCTCCAATGCCGACCCAGGCTGACATTGTCCAACCTTGCCATCAATGAACCTCGAAGTGTGGATTTCGACGTCGTCACATCCGGCCAGGGCCTTGTCTGCGTGCTGTTGAGTTGCAGCCACGGTCTCCTGCTCAGTCCTTCTCAGTTGCGTTGATGTTGCTAACTTGATTTGTTTCTTTCTTTGCATTGGATCTTACCTTCTGCTTGACATGTGAAATATCTGAACACTGAAGTGCCAATGCTTCCCCCGACAAAGGCAAGCTCATACTCAACAATCTTAGCCTGCGGAGCACGGATCGGAAGTTCGGCATCAACTTACAGGCTCAAAGTCTGCATGCTGCCTCGTGGCTGCACCTAGGATTCTATAGCATGGAGGCATTCCTAACATGTCAAGTACAAACCCAAGCTGACTAGGCCCATGGGTGTTTTGTTTGTTCTGCCTTGAGTACATCGGGACCAAAGGCTGTGCAAGGTGTGCTTATATATATGTATACACACATATATATATACATATATATATATACATATATATATATATGCGTAGCGTGGTATGTAACCTAGACCTAAACGCGCAACAAAGTGAGCCAAGGAATCTATCAATTGCACATCTCTGAAGTCATGCAGTCTCCGTGGCCGGCATGGAAGGCGTTTTTCCTTTTGTTCTCCAAAGGAAGAAACGCCCCAAGGCATGCTTGTGCTTGAAAGGTCTTCAAACTCAGCTCAGGTTTTGTGACGCAGCAGCACCAAGTCTCCGAGCTTCATTGCCCACCAGGCACCGGGGTCCGGGGTGGCCGAAACTGTTCAGCCGCTTGCCTGCACACAAGTTGCTTCACTGCACTTACAGTTGTGTGTCATGTCACCGTCTCGTAGATCTTCTGAGCCTCAACCCAAATCCTTGAAGAAGCCAGAGCACTGGGGAAACACTGATGGGCATGTGTAGCATCAATCTTGGATTTCCGGCCCGGGGCTTTTCAGGCCTGAAGCGAAGAGAGTACCTAGTACCGGATGCAGCGACTGTGTGGCGTTAGCATTTGGAGCCATGCCGCCCCGCAGGCATGCGAGGACAACTTCACCCAGATTGGCGGCGGCAGTACGCAAGCAGAGTGTGTGAGTTGCCCCGTGGAAAACGATTTCTGCTATGCGAACGAATTCAAGATGAAGGTGGGCCACATGGTTGAAGTGAAGAACATCAGCTTCACTATCTACTGCCCCAATCCTGCGGCCTGTCCTGGTGGCAACTCGTCCAACTTCTCCTTCATGTGTGCCAAGGGCTATGAAAACCGATCTTGTGCCAGCTGTGCGAAGGGCTATGCCATCTCAGACAGCAGCGTGCTCTTGTGCACTCGCTGCCCTACAAAGTGGTGGCAACAGGCTTTGCAATGGCTGTGCATGCTTGGGAAGCATGTGCTTCCCTTTGCCTTGGCTGCCAAAAGCGCTCTCCAAGGGTTGGATGAAAAGGCTGCCTGGCTTGTTTGAGCCGTTTTGCGCTTTGAGGGAGGAATATTCAGAAGCTGTGCTCGCTCAGGATCGTGTTCAGGAGGAGGCCAAGCGCAGCGCAGTTCTCATCAATCAGCTGCTGTCCTTTGCCACCGTCACCGGCGGTCTCCTGACGGTCGTTGCCCAGACAAACGCTGTCGGGGAAATCAAATCTTGGGCAGCTACTTGGGGGCGTTTGCTTTCCCCGTTTGTGCCAAGCGGTAGAATCAAGAGTGTTTATTTATGCCGCGTCAAATAGGTTGGTTCAAGTTGGGTTTGGTCTCACCGCGCCGGCAGGGCCACATCTTTGACCTGCTCGCGTGCTTCCAGTTTAGATCAATGCAACTACCCATCACAGGTCACATCAGATAGACAACAATTGATCTAGCAGCGTCCGATTCGTAAAGTGGGTTATGGGAGCAAGCATTGAAACCTTGCTTTCTGTTAGCGTATTCCTTCATAATTAACCCCGTCCCCGTGCCTTGTTGTGAAGCTCGCGGGCGGGAAACACTCTTAATCTGCGGGGCTCTGCTTGCATTCTGAGTAGCAGGGTGATTGTAGGTTATTTGTTAGGACACAATCTTGCAACGCAGACTACAATGAAGTTGCAGCCGAATTATTCTGCACTCCGAAGTGAGCAGCCATCCGTTTTTCCCTCAAAAACGATATTAACCTTTGGCAACAGAGTTTACGCTCAGCCTCCAAAAGCTCTTTCAGAGATATGGCGGCTATTGGCACAGAGAAGGGATTACGGTATTTGGGTTGCGCTCCTTTCTCGCCTTCATTTTGTTGAGCCTTCAACACTATAAACGCTGCACTGTACGGTTCCCGGAGATTTAATTAAGGCGAAAGCTGTTCTGGAGATCTGTGGGGCGACAACCTGGCTGATGGGTGGGGAAGGGCCCTCTGAAGGCCCCGTTTTAGTCAAAGGGTCCAAGGAAAATTGCAGTGACCTGTCTAGGCCGTCAACTGGTGGAGACTACGGAGTAGCTGTGCAGAACATGATTGAAATGTCAGATAGGTCGGAATTCTCCTGGGTTCAATGCTAGCGAAGTATGATGCTGAGCGGGCCAGAAAAGTTTGAACCTTTTGTGCCCGGCCTGAATCACTTTAACGGCATCACGACAATGCACGAGAGTCCAAAACCATCAGAACCTTGAACTGGGTAAATTGGGATTAACCAAGTTATCCCAAGAGAATCCTTAAAAGAGGCCGGGGGGCCCTAAGAATTCCGTTGTACCCCCTACATGTTCCTAGGGTACCACTATTTGGAGAAATCCCCACAGGGCAGCAGAGTCATCCTATGAACCTGGGTAGGTTTGGTTGATTCTCCTACCCCTCCGAAAGCTGTTCTAGAATTCTAGAATTCCTGGTGCCGAAAGCCTAAGTACCCTGTAGCATTCAAATATGCACGACTTAGACCCTCAGGGTTCATGACTCAAAGCGCAGAACAAATCCTGAAAATCCGCGCCGCCCGCAAGAACCGGCAGGGTTCGGCGGCTTCGGCGTCTCCTCTCTTTGCTTGCTGACGGATCTGGGTCTTTCTGGAGAGCTATGGCAAGCCCACCTGCTTCACACTGTTACCTGGTGCCAGTTTGGCTGAATCGCGAAGTCACTCTATGACAGGGATCCTAAGGTTTCAAGGGCGTGTATATGGTCCTCATCAGAAGGGTAACGGATACTAAATGGATTCAAGAGAGACAGCTATTTTATCCATATTTGTGCACACTTCGTAGCTGCAGGTTCTGATGATACTTTAGGAGCTGACCGCTTACATAGAGTTCACTAGAACTCTGATTCAAATGTTTCAGGGCTGAATGCTCAGGAGTCCGCCACGACATAGAGTCTCATGGAGCCTTAAGAGTAACCGACACTTCAATACTTCTCATTCTTATGAGCATTGCTGAGAGTTCTGCATGTGAAGTGAAGTGCAGCGCAGGGTAGTTGTCGTGCCTGCAAGATTCAAGACTGGTGCATCCAGTGTTCCGTTGAACAGCAATGCTCCCACAAACTAGTATGAATGCCTAGAGTAGTCTCCTTATCGTTTCTATTTGGGTCAGCGCAGTAAGGGTTGAATTATGTTTAGGAGGTATGCCGGGGTCTCATCGTGGGTCTGGCTTGAGATGCCCTATGGTGTATTGGGAGTATATTCTTTGTGCCAAAACCGCGACAAATTTCCAAATGTCGTTCAGCCATGAACCGCTTAACCAACTGGAAGCCAAGGCCATTCCATTGGCGTTAGTCTTGGGCTTGATGTACTTCCGTCCATCGACCCAGCACGGTCTTGTGGTGGTGGTAGGCCTGAAGTTCGCAGGAAAAGTCGATTGGTGGACGTGACGGGTGCCCGGGGGAATGGGTAGGTTTTTGCAGAATATAGAGTCTCAAGTTCGTGGCACTCGATTGCAGCCGGACTGTTTGTCACAGCACGAGTAGACGACAACAGGTGTTACTGGTCTCACCCGCTGCTGATTGCTGTTACTTGCTGCTTTCTGCTTCAACCACTACTGTGTCTGCTACCAGTCTCACTCCTGGTTTTACTATGTCTGCCACTACCTCACCTTCTGGGGACCACGGGAGATGTTCATGTTGACAAGACCTGTCCTGATCCAGCGTGTGGCAGGCTTAAATTGCTTCTGGCCCGGAGTTTTCAGCTACTTTGGGAAGTACCTTTACTGCCTCTGCCTCGGTTGTGCACAGTCAAGACATGGTATGTACAAGCCCCATAGATTTTAGGAATGGTGTGGTGGGTGCCGAGGCTACCAGTTTGCGCCAGAGAGCGCCGCAAAGCAGAAGGAAGACACATACGATTGCCCCTTCACTCAAGACCTTGGCCAGCGGATCGCACTGCGCATCATCATGGTTCTTGTCTTCCTGATGGTATCGCTTGTGTGGATCGGCCTCTCACTTTACAAGAAGGCAACGTCTGTTGGCAGTCACGGGCTTGTCCACTTCCACTTACATAGGTCTGCTTTGCTGCCCGTGTTTGGCCAATGCTGTTAATTTAAGAGCGCCGAGCATAATTACATATCACCTCCAAAGCATCCTCTTCTTACGTCTTCCCGCTACAGGATGACAAAAAGCCACCGCTTCATGTGATCTTCTTGAGCCGAGCATACCGACAGAGCTGCCACCTGTGGGAATCCGAACGCCTCATGAGGACGACATCAAACTGGGGCTTAAAAAAAAACATGCTCGATTTTGCTTTTTTCCTGGAATTATAGACAATAGGAATGTTCCCTTGGATGATTGTTAATGGGCCTGGAAGCTGGAACTGGATCACTGCTCATCTGTCAGCTGAGGGCGCCTTTTTGGGATCCCTTTAGATGCGGCCCTGCGCTCTGTGGGTCGTACCATTTGTCAACCTATAGAATATTTCCTTATTCCATAGTAGTTTCCATGCTATTTCCCATTCTCCCTATAGATATGTGTCCACCCCACGGGCTGACAAGAAATCTGAAAAAAAAACATGTGCCAAGCACTGGAGACAAACACATTCCCCAAGAGCTCTCAACCCAAAACACTCCAAAACCCTTGAAAGCCTCAATATCTCCATCCCGAGTCAGAAGGAAGGCGCTACTGACGCTGGCCGTCTCTGCTCTTCCCATCACTTCCTCTCCCGCTCTACAACTGGTAGGGCGCGAAGTCATCAGTTTTGCAAGGTTTTTGAAGCGTGTCAGATTCAGAGATATGGAGTTCAGAGCAAGGTTGAAGCTTGAAGGCCCATGGAGGACTGAAGGTGATAACATCTGATCCAGAGTCACAAATTGAGCAGCCAATTGGGGCTGTGAGAAGAAGACGCTGGGCTCGGTGTAAGAAGCCCACACATGAATAGCGCTTCGTACAACAAGGGTCTGTGGATCCCAGGATAGGTGTGTAGCGAGACCCATGAACTTGAGAACTAATTTCGATGTATGCCAGGCAGAACAGTTGAACTTAGGGTCCTGCAGGAATTTGTCCTTCGATGTTTGACTGTTCAGGTACAGATAAGCTTGATTGAAGTTCTCTAGGCCCCCATACACACTTGCAAGGCATGGCAGGCGTTCGGGGCGGTGACCCTATAAGGGGATATTTAGGATGGGGCAGGATTTTGTCCACCGTATCAGTCTGCTTGACTGAAGTTCTTGAGGCCCCCATACACGCTTGCAAGGCATAGAGATTTTCTGGGCTGTGTTGGGGATTGTTGGGGTTGTAATGCTTGTGTCGAATGACTGGCAGGCTGCATAAGCATACACATGTAATGCTTCTTTTCAGGGATGCCCGAAGAGGAATCCCTGTATGGCCTTCATATTCCAACGTGGCCCCCCGGTCCCCATCCGCTTCCCGAAGCCCCTGGACACCGGAGGCTTTGTTTTGCAGCAGGCTGCTCAAAGGTTGACTGCTCTGCATCCTACGTATTGCTGCAGTAAGAATGATGAAAACATTCTGCGCACCAAATCAGAACAGCAGTGTACGTGATGCTGCAGTCCTTTCAATAATGCAGCCTTACGAGGATAGCAGGCTAATACACATGTATATGTATATGTCCAGGTCTGCGTCCTCGGTGTTGTGGTGGTGTCTCTCTTCTTGTACGCGGCACTTTTGCCATACAAGACGATGCTGGGCACGGATTTGGAAGCACGCTGTCCCTTCCTACCTGCAGTTTCCAGGTCGTAGTGTGGGTCACCGGTACCAGTATACCTCCTTATAGATCCTCCAAGGAAAGGGGGTAATGCGGCCCCAAGTCAACTGCAGGATGCGCTTCAACCTCACCGAATGCACGCTGCTTGCAACAGCAGCGCTGATGACCGGGATAGTTAGCTGCCTGCCCCTTGGCAGTCACAGGGGAGAGGCTCTGCAGGGTTTAGAGTTCAAGGGCGGGTGGTGCTGTGGCGGCGTAAGACAAGTCTTTAACAACATGTGCTCGGCATTGTCTAGCGGTGAATTCCTTTGCCCACTAGAAGTTCTTTGTTGACAGAGGGCTTGCAGGGCTTGTCTTAATGCACACTGTTGCGATCCAGCGTGGGTCAGCTTCCCCGTGCTTCACGCCAGAACCCCAACTCCGACTAAACTCTCGACGTCATGATGACACCCGGTACACAGCCTGAAATCATCATGGTTGGTTCTTGAGGCGGTGGATCTCTGTACTACTCCCCTATCATCCCCTATAATGGTACTGAATGGTACTTACATTTCCTCCCCCACTCCCTCTTGCAGCATCAGCAAGCTGCGGATCAGACTAGGACCGCTTATGACGACTACTGGGGCCGCGTCTTGCAAGTGGAGTTCCTGTTGATCTTCACCATGGTGGGCCTTGTGGTTGTCACCTGTGCCTGGGCTTAATGTAGAGGAAGTCAAGGGGTTTGGGGCTTGTAGGGTTTGAGGGTGTTTGGTTTCAGGTCTTAGGGTTAATGCGGTTTAAGGGTCAAGCGGGTTCTGCCGGAGTTGTTGGATGTGGACATCAGCTACTCTGGATGGAGGATCTCTTGCAGCAGCTAAGGCGCCTCTGCCCTAGAAACTACAGTATTGCGTGCCAGCTGCTGCACCGTTTCCTGCATCCTCCATATGCTGAAAGGGGGGTCTTCTGCATCGCCTTGTAAGCCTCGGATCGCTCTCGGATTCATGGGAGTTTCTAACACTCAGGGTCCCTTATGGGGGGGGGTGCCCACAACAAGCTGGTACCTCATGTGAGATCTGCTTGTTTTCCGTTGTTTTTTTTTGTGCGAGGTTGCACACATTCTTGAGGAGCATGGTGCGACTTTTTTGGGTGGACCATGTTGGTGAACCCTGCCTGATGTACGCCCCACAAACTCCCACGTCGAGCCTTGCGCCAAGCCTGAATGTGGAACTCAGGCTTTGTGATGATGTTTATGATCTACCTGGAGCGCCTGCTTACTGGTGGTTAGTAGGGGCTAAGGGAATGTAATCCCTGTATAATATCTTCCCTTATTCCCAACTATTCCCCATGTAAGTCTATCTTCTCAACAAAATGCGTTTCTGCAAGTGGAGTATATTGAGGCATAAAGTTTCAGGTGATCTTGGGCGACATGTTTTGGGATCTAGAAAACCTCGCGGGCGGAAGCCATCAAGGTTGGGCTCGAGGTACTGGGGGCTTCGGGTTCAGATGTCAGATGCTGAATCTTGGATGAGCCGCAATGTGTATAGAGTGAAGTGTTACTAGAGCCTGGAACTGGAACATGAGTTGATTCCACGGCTGCGCAGGCTATTTTACATGTCCCTACAACCATGGGTCAGCGCTTTGATGCATCTGATGGCGAATACAGTTCCAATGACACACTGTATACTCCTTTCGAGTTGCCCCAGGTTTCGCGTGTTCTCCCTGCATAGCCCACATCTGATCCCCGCAAAAGTCTTCAGCGTTTCTGCGTGGGCCCTATAGAAAATCTAGAGAGACGCCATCCAAATCCGAACATGATTCTCTATCTGCCGAGGGCATCATGAACAAACGCAGAGCCTTTCATAACATCCAATGTACCTTGGGCATCCATCACTGAAATCCTTAGACTAAGAGACCTTGCGACCTTTTCCAGGAGTTGCGCCGGGAGTGGCGCAACCGTCCAGTGCCGAAGGTATCGGTTTGTCACAGTTGAGGGTTTGCCTACAGACCCGTTTGCCCCTTTGAGGAATACACCTTCAGTTGCCTAAAGATCCCTGGTACCATCCAAGGAATAGAGGCCTTGGTTAAGGGGCAGGGGGGTTTATCGCAAGCCTTCTGGCTCCAGGGACGGGATTCGTTCATCTTGGGGGCCGATGAGCACAGATGGCCAGATGGCCCAAAAGCTGGAAGATCAGAGTCTCAGGTTTGGGGTTCAGGTGTCCCAAAAACACTGCTGAGATGTGCTCCTTTGCCTTTGAACGTATCCCTGGTAGGAAGGCTGAGGTATTGTTTTTTTCAGATTTGGGGTGTAGGGTTTAAGCAGAAGCGAGTATCCCTCATTTCGGGGGGTTCTTGTCATAGCGTCTGATCACTTACGCCTGATCCGACTCCAGTGAGCAATGTGATCGAATGGGACTTCTAATTGGTTATAAGGGCTAATGAACAAGCATACTGCCAGTGTGTAGTAGCATAACAACAGCAGACGTAGAGCGAACATGATCCAAAAAGTAAAGCACCAGTCGTCATGTAGGGGCGCAATCTTTGCAACACATACAGAGAACACCAGACTTGTGGGGCAACACATATTACATGTTTGCATCTACTACTCATCAGCGCATTAGAGAGCGACTCTGCTGAGACCCAAGTAGGTGGCACCTGAAACCCTTTTATTTGCATTAACCTGGACCCTTAGGGTCTTTAGGGTGAGATCCTGAACCTCAAAACCCCAAGCCCTGAAGACCCAAATCCACTGGCGCCAGGAAGAACAGCCCTGGCTCTGGGGGACATTCCTGCTGAGCCGCAGTTCGTTGACTAATGATCGAGACACATCGTCTGGAGATAGAGCCCAGATGAGCCCAGTAGCCCTCAGTTCGTGAGCGCGTATTATTGTACCAAAGGTCACCTCTTAGCCATGGTCTGGGTCTCAGTGATGGATGGTCTGAATTCTAGAAGTGTTTGAACCTAGCATGAAAGTTTTTCTGGCAGGTTTGTTTTTGGGCTGTAGGGTTCCTACCTCAGGATCGCCCCATTTGCCCTCTCACCTCAGTTCAAGGCTGCAGAAAAATTGACCTGGACTACCCTGAATCCTAGCCATGAACAGCCCAAGATCCTAACCACCCCAACGCTCAAACCCCTGAGCCCCAGCACACCCCAGTGATCGAAAGTCCCGCAAAAAGCAATTTGAAACGAGTGTCTTCAAGATGGCAAGAGGTGCTTCCGACATGTCAGACACACAAAGGGGGACAAGGCCATCAGGGTGGGAGTGTCCCCTTCTTTACTCATCCTCATCCTTTGGACCCATCCATGGTGGGGCCTTGTCCCCCTATAGCTTCATGAAATTCAGATTTAGATGCAAGCGCCGCCTGAGTTGAAAAAAGTGTGACGGTGGATATTTCTACACATGCAGATGAGTGCACCATCGTGTTTGTTTGCATCTAACATGTCTGAACTGATCTGCTCTCACAGTGGGTCCTGCCTCATGTGATTGATTCCTTTATGGGGTATAGCTGCCTAGACTCACCCTAGCTAACGCACTTATGCTGCTGTCTGGGAGGAGTCCAAAAGAGGGTCCAACAAATTTTTGCGCAGCCTACAATAAGTTTCTCAGAATAAACCTCTTTGAGAGGGCACCCCAATGTTATGCATATGTGTGTATAATTTGTACACACACACATATATATATATATGTATATGTATAAGTGATGCCTCTGCTGCAGGTGAGCCATGGGCACGGCATGTTCGTGCGCACAGACCGCTCCAAACAGTGCGCAGTGCCCCTTGCCTGTGCGACAAGTTCTTGCTAGCAAGCCTCTCTTTGGTGAGATAGGGTGGCAGCTTGAAAAAACACGCAAATGCAGTTTCCATGCAGTAGAGGTGTCCAAGCAACTTGCAGTGGCGTATCAAGTTTTGCCTATTAGGCTCCAACTCTTGTTCAACAGTGGGTCTGGTCAGGTACCTGGTCGGCAGTTGCAGCGGGTCTTATGAACAAGGGTGCCTTGTGAATGGAGCTGGCAAGGTTTCATTCTCAAGGCTAGGCTTACAAGGCCTGAAGCCTGCCAAAGGCAACAACAAAAGAGCCACCTTTGGTGCCACGTGGATAGTGGCAATGCAGAACTTCCATCGTTGTCATGATGCTGGTCAGGATGAAGCAGCACAGCAGCATTGCCGTGGGCGCTGCAAGTCCATTTCCTTCATCACGTGTGAATCAGCAGAGGGGCTGCCGCTACTGTCGATCGGGTTAGTTGCCTGCATGGACAGTACGGCTCGCTGCAGCTTAGCCAGACATTCCGTGTTTGACCCGGCATGGTCCTTTTGGTACCGAGTTGCTGTCAAGGAACTTAATTTAAGCCACTATACTGGGGAAACCCTATTATATCATTATTTTTCTATATATATATATACATGTATATGTATACCCATTATGGCAACTTAATTTAGATTCCTTATCAGCAACCCAGCTTACTGTACAGTACCTGTTGGCATTGAGAGGACACAGGGCCAGCAATCTTGGACTTCAGACGAAAATCTTGACTGCCCTAAACCCTAAACCCTGACATACTCGGGAGCCTAATGAGCTCCAAGTAAGTGGTGAACTGTACCTCCTCTAGATATGCCTGGATGATGAACTATCCTACATTGTATCCCCCATGCTTTTGATGAGGTGAAAAGTCTAAGTTACATTAGGTCCCCGCAAGGCCCAGCAGCAAGCAAGCAATATTTCTGTGTACAATGTGCAAAGTATTTGTCACCAACATCACAATTGACAACCGAATCCATCCCCATGTTGGATGCGGACAGGCTTATCTTTTTTTCCTTTCGCTCTAAGGTTGAGGAAGGCAGGGAGTTCATCAAATGATTCGCCTGCAGATCATACGCAGAAGATAACCCATGGCAAAATCCAATGTGACGCCGGGTGTGAGACCTGTAATCTACGAAGAATCCGAACAATTACAGGGCCCGTGATATTACAAGATCAAGAAGGTTTCCCACATGTGCGGATCATGTCGTGATTTCCCCGCGTGGTCGTGAGCAAATGATTAGCAAGTACATGCATCTAGCTCGTGTGATCTCTCTACTTGACAGTGAAACCTTGTTACTTCAGTTTTGCTGTAACAAGTTCTTTAATACACTTTGTTGGCTTTACTGTGTCATATTTTAATGACCTACTTGATCGTTGTTAGGATTGCTTGGTATGAGGTCTTGGCGGACGCATGGTTCCAGCCTCGCCCTAACCCTACACTGCAAGCTGGATTTGCAACTCTCCCTGTTCCTAAGCCGTAACCACCAGCTTCTCCAACTAGATTGCACTAAATGCCGTCCGGTATGGTAGACCAAGAGTCGTTTTCTTGGATGCCTGTCTGGACTCCAGCACCTTATTGCCTGCAACATTTTCAGTGTATGAGCACCTCTCAACAACCCTGTATGTTGCATTTATAACCGGTCCCTGACACTGAGAAACTTGCAAACTCTGAGGCTTTCGACCACAAGGATAATGCGTACCCTCGCTTCGCAGCCTTTGCTCCAATTGACATAGCATGTAAGGGCAGTGGCGAGAATGCCCAACCTACCAGATTCCAAGTGCCCCAATTGCTGTTGGCAAACAAGTGCCGTGATCCAATCGCACCCAATCTTCTTCTCGGCTATGCCTTTGTCGAAGGAGGCCCCCCTACAGCAGCCTCATTCAGAAACCTTTCAACCCATCCTCCATAACCTAACAGTTGGAACCGATAGATATTGTGAGCTTGTAGTCTGCCTGGCGGTTTCTTCCCTGGGCCATGGGTCACGACGAGGGATGGGCCGGTGGTGGTCAAACGTTTGGAGCTCGGCCTATCTGTGGCTTTCTCTAAAACTTACAGGGAGTTGTAGGAAATAAGGAATAAAAAACCACAAATGTGTGTATGTATATATATATATACACATAGATATATATATATATATGCATATATACATATGTATTTATGTATTCCTCACAAACCGCCACTGTGAACTTGGGGGATACATGTGGATTACAAAGGGATCAGGGTTGTCCTTGGCAATTACTACATAAGGATAACTTTGAGAAGTTCGCACCTAGGATTCAGAAAGCCTTTCGTGAGGGATCGTGAGCCTGCAAGGGGATAGGAGGAGGAACGGCGGTCAAATTTGAAACTGAGGATTTCACTCTGACTGTCAGCCGCATGCGGATCAAAACAGAAATACAGTATGGCGTGGTTCTTCTACATCTTGAGCGTGGAAAGGGGGCGTATGGCTGAGGCAAGCGGGTCTTCGCAGGGCCTAGCAAATGCGAATTGGAATGTTTTGGTGTCGATGGTACACTTGTTTGCCTTTCTTTCGGCACAATGCCAAATTCCACTGTTGCTTGGATCTCAAGATCTTGCGCGCAGCTTCTCATGTCAGTAGATTTGTTTGGCAAAAGTCTGAGTGGATTCCTGGCGCTTCTTTCCTCCGGCAAAGGGGCCTTGAGACGAGTAAATGCTTGCAACGCGCCGGACCACCAAACAAGCAAGTCTTACTGGTGGGGATGTTCCCAGTAGCAAATTCTTTTACAAGATCAGGCGCTTCCAAATCTGGCCAAAGGAATCCCTGAAATCTTTCGCTTGCTTTAAAGGTTCTTGGAGATTACAGACACTATATGCCTCAAAGCCAGTATTCCGGTGTAGAGCGCAACCCCGGTCCCAGAGACAGCTTAAGTCTGGACCGTGTGGACTAAACCCAGAAACTGGTTGAACAAGTCCGGGCCTTCACGCGCTAAGTCCTAAAGCCATTCACCTGTGGAGTGCCCATGAGGAGCTATGGAGGTCCTCTCCGGCGATTGCCTCCTCCAGCCTGCTCCCAAGAGACATTTGTGAGCTTCTCGAGCAACTTGTATACCTTCAGTACTGCCCCCCCCCTCAGTAACAGTTGGATAATAATTATTATATGGTTATATATAGCCCTTAATAGGACCCCTAATATAGACTGTTACTGGGTGGGGCCAGTACCCAATATATACTGCTGAAAGCAGAGCCCAGATTCCTATTACTCTTCGTTTTCACAATCTCCGTCTCGGGCTCTGGCATAAGACCATCGCCATTCCGGCAATGTACGTGCCTAGAGCAGGGTGCGCTCGGTGGGATTCCAGCTATGGCGTTAAGAGTGAACAAGACAAAGTTCCAAGAGCTTGGAGGGTGTAGGGTCATCCCAAAGTACGTGTAACATAGCTCCAGCTTAGTTTTGCTCCTGATATTAATCCATAAGCTTCCTCAGACTCGTTTAAGACCTTCGCGAGACTTCTGTTTCCCCACCAGCATGGCTTGGGGCATGAGACTCGCGAGCAGTATGGTTTTGGATGCAGGTGTATAGTCTACGTAGGAACCCAGAGTCAGAATTTGGCTTTTGAGGTACAAAATACGGAAAATATTGGCGTGCAAGATGTAAGACACAAGCAGCTGTTTAGGCTACGATACTAGACAAAGATTAGCTTGTGAAGCTCGTTATTTGGCTTTTTCACTCGAGCAGTTTTCTATCGTGGCCTGAAGGTTCGCCAAGATTTGAGGCGAATAAATTGATTCATAGGCCGTTTAGGGTTTAACCCTGCTGCAACACGATGCATGCGGCCTTTGCCCAAGGTCTGGATTCAAGATCTCCAGCGAGGTGACTACTCCCCGGACGCGCTGAAGGCCAGACTGACTTGCAGGGGTCCTGCAGGACTTATAGTAATCGATGCCACTTGGCAGGGCATGCTAGGGTGGCATGGGGTTTGTCTGATAAATTTTGTAGGTTGCAGCCGAGAAGGAAATGCAGGGTACAGGGCCGGATGGGACGCTCCAGCCAAATTTTGTCGCCAATCCAGAAACAACTGTTTTCAGCCACCTTCTCTAAGAAATGGATTCAGTCC